AGTGGGTTGGCGATTTGCCTGATTGTGTGTTTAGTCACTCAGGTGCTTGGGACGGGTTAGGTCGCCCTCTTGCCTACCACATAGCCCATTAGTCCTTCCACAGGTCGGCAAATTATGCTTATCTTCCAGTTCTTACCCCAGTAAAACCCTAATCCTGCATGAGAAGTGACCAGTGAGAAATACTTTAAGTCTGTTAATGAAAGAATTGCTCCATAGGTCAGGTCTAAAAAAAGACATTTACTGGAAATGTAACTACTTTTAGTAAGAAGACGTCGTACTTAAGAGGTGGACAAATGCTTCATCCAAAAAATAAATTTACTTTCTTCATTCCCTGGATCTCCTATGCGTGTCTCGTCCATTGCAAAAAATTATGAACCAGACACAATTTATTCATCCACTTGGGAAGACCTTCACATGCAGTGATTTTTTTCGTTGGGATAGCCTTTTTTAAACAGTCCTTTGATCCTCTTGCTTTTATTTGCAGTTTTGTTCTTATCCAATGTAGAACAGAAGACGTGATCAATCCGACCACCTTACAAAGGATTAACCAATTCCATTTCCCCACATACGTCATTTGTCAAATTCACCAAAGCCTGCTTGCGAGTGCAGTAATTTTTGTGCAATATATTGTTTTACTCTTCTATTACAAGTTCAACAAAATAACTACCATTACTTCCTGCCTTTAGATGTAAGTTTGCGGGTGGCATGTGGAAAGTATCTTTCTGTAGAACTGACTACTCAATGCTATAGCACTCACCCCACATCATAGATGATGTCTATAGAACCTAAGGAAAGAAAAATTAGATGTACGGAATTGTTGCGAATTTGTGGGAAAACTCGCCTTTCTGTGGGTCAGTAAACTGAGATTTTAGCGTTTGCAACTGTCATTCGTCACATATTGCGAAGGTGAAGGGGATGAGTGATTACTGTGTCTTATTTATATTTGCTTTTTTCCCATAACCCGCTATTAACTTTCTTTATTGACTCAATTACTCTTGTAAAAACCACTTATGCGGTCTGCAGGGCTTAATTTCGGTATCAGCCTGCTGAAAGGCGACACACCATCCCGTCATCACTTCTTAGAGCCTCATTGGTTAATTGAACGCGACCTAGCGAGGAAGTCAATAATTGCGTGCGCTTGTCCGCACGCCTCTGGAGAAGTCTCAGTGATCAGGCTGGCATGGAGGTGATTGGTGACGACAAAGCGTATGTTTTCATTGGCTAGGAGAAGGAAGGGCAGATGGCAATGAGGCAATGCTTGTTTTCCACACGGGGATGGGAGTTCACTTGGCCAGAGCGAGAGTGAGCGGGCAGGCTGTGTGCGCTGACACCCATGGGCAGGCGTAACTCCTCATCCCGTGGGTTGAGAGATGCCTTCGTGTTCTGCACCTCTATGCGCATCACAACCTACTTGATTGAGGGGAATATCTGCCTTAAACACCTACGTCGCATTAAGCAATACCTCTATTGATTTTTTGCATCTTTTTCATTGGTTTACCGTTTTAAACTTGAAATGAGCCAATCATTTGCATGGCTTCTACGCTTTAACTTATGTCAAAATAAATGTCTGATTTTATGTTTCATACAATTTTGGGCTATTACTTTTAAGCGATCAAGCTTGGAGGGGCGAGGGAATTTCTCGACAATATTAAAGTAGTTTGTGGTTAAGCTAAGACACCGGAACTCGTATAATTTAAGTGATAATTTGTATTTAAAAATTACCCAGCAGAGGTCTCGTGACTTTTCACCTAAATCAAATTTGGTAGAATCATCCCTGAGGGCAAGAATGGGGAGAAGTTGGAAGAAGTGTGACATTCAGGTCCAAAGCGGAATGACAAGTGCGTTAAAAAGGGTGCTTGTTTAGTGTTAATACTACTATCTGGTTTTAACATACGAATACCATTTCATGTTTCATTCGACCCGTGTCAGGTTTTTGAACTTAGCCAAAAGAAATTGCAGTAGTTGCAAGATTTTAAAGAGTATTTGCATGCTATCGAGAAATTCTCATTTAAACCTGACTCTCTATGGACTACTGGGGTGGCAAATTAATCGTCCACAAAGGACTTCACTATAAATTTAAAATTGCAATCCCCTTTCTCTTTAAGGCTAGTTAAACATTAGTGACACTTTGGTATCAATTGCCGTACTTTGCGTCGTGACGGATGTATAGTTCCCTATTCTGACTTTCTTAATAAACACCAAATTACTAATCTGAACCAGAAAGTGTCCAGTTGACCCTGATCGCCTAGGACATGAGAATTTATCTATCCAATCTTGGGACAGGGATTTCGCCTTCCATTCTAGGCTACACGATTTGGTACAAGCTAGCTTGCTTGGGTGAGCGGACAAAGTCGTGGACACCTTAATGGAGGAAACAGCGTCCAACCCCAGCGAATAAGGAGGAAGCACGTGTTTATCGAGTATGTGCAAGAGCAGATTTATGCGCAAACTTTGAAAAGTGGATAAGCTTGCTTTGGCAAAAACGTCAATGAGAGTCAAAGGATTCGCAAAAAAATAACTACAAGAATACCAAAATTTCTTTTCCACTCACTTATTTAACTAAGCCTTTGGTTATAAGCTAAATCTCTAAGAGAAGAAAATTGAGATTCTTGCTGACTTTAGACCGGAATTCGGCTTATCCGAATAGGATAAGATCACTTTTTTGTGGCATTCAGCATTGTGAAATGTTTTACCTACCCAAAACTACACGAACAGTGCTCGGTCTTCGGCGCTTTTCGATCCCCATTCACCACATAAATATTAAAGCCCTTTGCCCATCGGTTTCCCACTAGGATTCACAGACGCCGCGGTCCACCGACGCGGAGGGTTGGCGCTATGCGCCAAAAGGGGCGTGCACAATTAAAACAAAAGGCAACTTTAAAATTCGTCACAGAAAATGCAGCCCTAGCTTGTCATGCTTAATAAACTAAGTTTAATGTTACCGTGTTTTAGTAAAAAATCAAGTCATAGTCACAATGGAAAAATCAGGACAATTTTGGTACACCTCATTTATAAGTTAGGATCAGTGTAAACTAGTATGGTGAACGTAATTGCCTTACATTTCTGTGTACTAAACAGCTCACGATTATTTTTGGTTTAAGAGTTCACTTATGTGATTGTGCTTAATTACGAACTGAAGTCTATTTTTAACCGGTACTATCTTTGTGCGATGCGGAACAGCCACACTCGAAATCTAATGGGTTGGATTTAAAGTTGTCTGCCCTATAAACCGTGCTTGAATCGGTTCTAGGCTTATAAAATTGAGTATTTGGGTTAGATCGTTTGCAGTGGTATGGTGAAGCAAATGTTAATGGTGAGAAGTGATTTAGTGAGGAGAATTTGCTCTCACTTCGCTAAAAGTCATGATGTTAATCGTTTATGCTTACATCATCTGGAAAGGGAAGTGGTGTTAGCTAATTCGCAAATGGTTACCACCCACAGGTAATAGCTTATAACAAAAGCAAGAAATGGTAGTAAGACCGTCAGGAATGACGCGATTTGCATTTTAAATTGTTTGCTGGCCGACTGCATTGTGCTTAGGGATGCATTATATTATTGTTATCCCAAGCCAAATAAGACATAGGGGCAAAACTCAGGACGACTTTTTACTGTCTACTTTGCACATCAAAAATCCTTGTATATATTTATGTGTAGACTATAAGTAAAATTTTTTGAGTACATATTCTTTCAAAATTTCTAACTTCCATTGAGGCACCTTAACATTAGACAGGGCAGGTGCATCTTGAGAGCAGGGAACAATAGACTTCCCCACACTAGTTGAATTCGGTCTCATCATTCTCACCAACACAACATCAAACATCACATCGCACTATACCACGATTCCGACTCGCGACAACGTCATCTCCAACTTCACCCACTCCTCCTCTTTGCCTTGCATCGGTATTCGAGCATCGCACACACACACACACACACGCAGGAGACCTCGAGGTGGAAAGGGGAGTGAGCAAAGCAGAACGGAGTAGGATAGGGCCGAGTTGAGGTGAGGTGAGGTGAGGTACGGTGATGTGATGTGATGTGTTGTGAGGTGAGGTGAGGTGAAGTAGATGAGTTCATTGAAGTGGAGAAAATGATCTGTCACAAAAGCCAAATTGGTGGCGTCGGTCTGCTCTCACGAGGCAGTATGGAAGGGCAGAATCGAAGTGGGGCAACAGGAAGTGAGGAGTGGGGGAGGTGGAGGCTGGAGGACGTGTGCATTTGTTAGACTAACAGTGTGTTGTGGAGAGGAATGCAGAGTGAAATGAGGTTTGGTGGAGGAGGAGGAGGAGAGTGTTTGGCGTGTCTGCGTTGGTATGGGGTAGTGGGACGGACAGGGAAGGAAATGAGTGGGTTCGAGACAGGTGTTGGGACATAAAGTTAGGTGGATAGAGGTGAGGAATGCGAAGCCAGTGCTGGTGCGCACCAACGAGGCTGCTGTGAGGACGTGTGGAGGGGGTTGTGTTTGCTAACGTTGAGCGGCGTAATGGAGTGATTTGATGTGTCCTCAATTAGGTGCAGTATGAGTGGGAGAGGGAGGAGTGCATTGCATGTGTTTGGTGTGAGGTGAAAGTGTGCCGGAGGGCATGAAGTTGGGTGACGAATTCGGCAGCGTAGAAGTAGACGGAGGTGGGGTGGGTTGTTGGTGTTGTGGGTGGAGGCGTGAGTCGGAGGCTGTGAAGGCATAGGTAAGTGGTGTGGTGAATGATTATGCTGGTGGTGGTGGTGGCGGTGGTGGTGGTGGGGCAGGCACTACCACCCTCAGCATGCCATGAATGTATGCGCGGATGTGGGAGTAGTTAGTGGATGTTGTAAGAGGCAAAGTGTGTGGATGGGAGGTGCGATGGAGAGAATGTGTCGAATGGCACGGAATGGGAAGGTGAGATGAGCGTTGGTACGGTGGAGATGAGAGGGTGGAGAAAATGCAAAAGTCGAATGGGAAAGTTGTGGGAAGTGAAGATAACGGGTTGTGAGGTGAAGTGGGTCGCGTGGAGTTGGTTTGGATGATGATGATGATAATGATGATGATTGGACAACCATTGATATGTTGTGGTGCAGTTTGTGGTCTCATGGAAGATCGGTGTGTTGTGGTGCAGCGGTGGTGGGAGGTGTGGTGGTTTGGTGTCGATGCAGGTGCCAGGAGTTGCAGTGTCGATGACATGGTTGAGGCTGTGGCGAAAATGCAAGGTAAGATAAAACAGCGAGCATTAGAATATAGATACAGTGGCCTTCTAGAGGAGAGTTCTAGTGTTTGCCTTCTTCTTCTTCTTCTTCTTCTTCCCCTCTGCAATGCACTGCATCTACTGTCAGGATGGGACTGGTGGTGCTTGAGGAAGTACTGACACGGACGGAGTCCTGGTGGTGGTGGATGTGTAGCAGAGGGAGGGGAAAAGGGTGCAACGTCACTGGTGTGTCTTTGTAGTCGCATGGATTCGACAATGTGATGCTAGTGAGGTTAGTGGTTGCGTGTGCTTGTGTGGTTGTGGGTGTGGGTGTAGATATGGAGATTGGGGGGTGGTGGAATGGGCTGAATGCCTTGTATGGTCAACATTGACGACGATATAAATGAGCAGAAATGTGGAGCAAAGAATGGAGATCTGAGGCTGAACGTGTTATCAGGACCATGCAGCTTTAGTTTCGAGGGCATTCAGGCTGCTGATTCACAGGTAATGGCGCTGCGTGTTTACTTAGTTAATAACTTATCACATCAAAGAGTTTTGCTTATCGTTTAATTGTTAGCTTTGATGGGTGGCTAGCTGATGTTGTAGACAAATTACTCAATTTTGTTGCCGAATTTAGTTGTCCTTAATGAATATTTAAAAAAATAAATATGTTGCTTTGAGAATGACCTTACTCTTTTATAAAGCAGAATCACTCCAATTTATTATGTGATGAATTCTCTCAATAGCTTGTGTGATCAACAGTTACTTTATGGCTGGGCCGAATTGGCAAGGCCCAGTTTTAAGTTCAACCATGCACCATTAAATGCATGATAATATGGGCAAAGGACCATATTTTAGCGCACAACATAATGTTGTTTGAACAGTACGAAAGTATGCTTGCTAAGTGCATAAAAGCACTGCACATCGTACCATTGTGTACCTTTGCCTTGCAGTTCGGAAATAGAGAGCACTGATTTTACGATTAGGCTTCATGCATGGCTGAGCTGGTCCTGGTAAAGTTGCTTTCTTGTTGATATCCATGGTGACTTTTTGGGACCGTCCTACTTATACTAAACAAGTAGCACTGAAATACTTTCCATAGTAAATCTATGGCATAACATTCAGGAAGGACTGGTTAACGAATAAGTTGATTGTCTAACTTTCACGAAACAGTGCTGCCTCCAGAAATTATTTAGGAAGTTTTTAACCAGAATTAACTTGAAGGCGATCTTTGTTTACACCACTCCTTATATATTTTATTGGTATGGTTTTTAGGCAACAATTTACACTCTTCTATGGCTCCACTGCTCGAAAATTGACCTCAAGAGAAAATAGACAATAAAGGAACGAGAATCTCATAGCAAGGAGTTTTAAGCAGTTGTTAGCAATCTAGAACTCCTCATTCACTAACATTTTCTTAAAAATACATTAAATCATGCCTAAAATCTTCACTCGAACAATAAGATTTCACTTATGGCCATGAGTACGCCCACTCAACCATAGCACAGCTTCCATTGCTCAAGTGATACTGAAAATGTAACCTATTTGCTGGTGCATCCAATAAATTGAGTTTATTTGGAGTTGGCCATGCAATACGATTTTGGTAACGAGACAGTAATTCCTTAATAGCAAAGAACGCCAATATTGTGAGGTGTGGAAGCCTAGAGATACATTTGCGAAACCTAATGCATATAAGTAAGAGGAGGGGGATGCATGGACCTAATCATATCTCTTCATCTTTTCTGTTAGTCTTCTAGTCCCTCTTTGGACTTGTGCTAAAGACGCATCCTGTCACCTCCAACTCCTCAAGTAGCACCTTAAGATGCTAAAATACAAGCTGGCGGAAGCTACATGCTGGAACGTTTTGGACATTACGAGGTACTAGAAGGCCAGGTATTACTCATAATTGTATATAAACAGAACGATTTTCGCGCCATTCTAGCAAAATATTTTAATAAAAATAGATTAGAAGATCATTTTAAACAAAAACTCATCGCTAAGAGCTTTTGACACGCAAGCACCACTCATCCTGACTCATCATTTCATATCACTCATGGTAGAGACTAGGGGGAGGGACAAGCACCATCCCCTCTCTAGAAGAAAGTCGAAAGCAAAGTGGTCTTGGCGCCACGGATTTTGAGGTTCCCCATTTCGCTCCAGCGACGGTGACAGGGGACCATGCAAAGGACGATTGAGGATAAAAACAATTGTTTCAAATACGGGCAGAGGATAGGCACAAATGCTTTTCCGCAGATGGATGAAACCACGCAGTAAGACAGATCAGTGGTAAATAAATAAGGTATTGAGATGAAGAAGAGGTTATAATAGCCAGAATGAAATGGAACAGAGTTTCCCATGCAACAAATTTGTGTTCTTTGACGAAGTGGTTCCCAGAGATGGGTCCGTCTCCAAACAACACGCAATTCACGTCGGGGCTTAATAAGAGAGTTGAGCCATCGCATTTATAAATTACTGACATGAGGGCATTGAACGTCTTCAGAGGAATAGCATTAAGATAACAGACAATTGTGATAAACGTGCTGTTTGGGTTTGTACAGCTGCTCAGCTTACTGCAACCAGAGGTGAGCAAGCGGCAATAGAAAGTCCGTTTTCGTGGTAAGTCATTGCTTACGATTGCAAGACTAGTGGGTTAATATTCTAGCAATTTAATCTGCTTAAGCATAACTTACCGAATTCCGCACAAGGGAATAGTGGACTCGTGACATCTATTTGTTATTTTGAAAAATGCTACTTACATTGTTTCAGTAACATGAACACTCCGAGTAAGCAATTAGGGAAGAATATTAGATTTTGAGGGAATTCATGTTGAGGTCTTTTTTATTCCACAATAAAATCACAATAAAAATTAAAACATTTATTCGCTTATTCACTTTTGGCGTATGTGCTTCTTCTTTGCACAATACCTTATTTTTATGGTTTCTACCAGGCGTCTGCTTCGCATACACTTCATCAACCGTCGGCCTGAAAGGGGAGAGAAGAATTAGCGTTAGGCTGTACTACTTCACTTCACCATTGAAAAACGAATTTACGATCCTTTCGTGCGCACTTTTTCCCCGACTGTGATAGCATCTCCCATCAGCTGAAACGCCACCAACTCCATATTAGATTGTACTCCACATTTTTTATTTGTATTTATGCATGCGAACTCACCCTTGAGTCATGGTGGTGACGCACAATTGTGCTCTCATAGACGGTGAGTAAATGGGTGAATTTGCATGAGTAAGTGTGGTTGAAGAGTTCGGTTTTGTATTTACGGTTTATTCTTTTCCTTGAAACTGACAGACTGTGGTTATTGACTCAGCATTTGAATTTACTGAAGTCGTTAAAGAAGGGGGGCAACTGAACAATACGGCTTTAGTCTTGTATTTGAAGATAAGTTTATTTATTGGCTATTGTGGAGGACTAATAATAGGGCTGACGCTTACAGTAAGGAACATGATCAGCGCAGGCACTTCAAAGACATCTTGACAGCTGTCGCCACCAATCCTAGATTTATTAGTGTTAGATCCACTGATAAAGCGAAGCAAGGCCTCACGTGTCCAAACGAAGGGAAAGTAAGTGAAGGAGTCGGGGGAATTAAAAACTATTTTTGAAGCCAAATGTTGATACAAAGTCGTCCAAGGAAGGATGAAAGGTGACTGGAAATAAAGTTGTTGTATTTGATCAGTTCAGAGGCTCACTTTAGGACCTTAAGGGTTAAATTCACCTTTAAATGGTTGTTGGTGAAATTGGACGCAGAGTGCCTTAGGATAAGAGAGGCACGTGGCGTGACGTGAAACAAGGTGGGAGGGGGGGGAGAAGGGGTAAGAAGATTTAGCGATAAGGGGTTCACTTAATTCCCTTTTATTGTCATAAGTACAGCAAGTAGACAGTCGGGCTCCCAGTCACTTAAGTCTCATTAGGAAATTGCGTAGGAGTATCTGTCAGCTTAATTGCTAGTCTGGCATTGTCACGCAAAGACATTGTTACACTTTGCGACTCTCCTGCTTAATGAGACGTATTTCCCTAACAGATCCATTAGCGCCATTGCAATTATTGTTACTACCATTCAAACATCGTTATTTATTACCGCAAAACTGGCCACCAAACATAAAAACAATTATTAAGGCACATTTTGGTGCCTTTATGGATGCCTACTGAGTGACAAAAATGTCCGTGGGGTAAACAATATGGTCAGCCTAGGGGAAAATTTTATAACTAATCAGAACTTGTGAACACTGACCAGTCGCCAACACGCCACTATCACCGATTGCGTTAATGTATTGGTCCTTTAATTTAACTGCCATTTGTAATGAAGTCTCTGCTGTTAATTCGGTGGCACAGACAAGTTGGGCTCTTCTGTAAAGGAGAACTTTACCATGTAACAATGTTTTGAGTTGAATCACACACAGTGGTAATGTCAAATCCAAAATCTCCTCACTCTGGAGGCTGGGTAACAAAATTATTGCTTCATGGCTCTTAAAATAAATAAAAGTGAACCAATTCACTGATTTTATAGAAGGATAGTCGTGACTGTTTTGGCGTGTGAATAATATGAAAGTTGAAAAGCTGAACATTTTTTCTTTACTTGTCGCTAAACACAACGAAGGAGTGTCGAGCACTATCATACTGCTTAAATTAATGGCAAAATACGGATGAGATGCAAAATGCTTTTGCCCCACACTACAAAAGTATGCGGTTGAACCTTCTTTATAATAACTTATTCTACTCCTCGCGCACCCTACACATGCTCATCCCCCACTCCCGAGACACCCATCACTACATTCTCGCATCACCGTGATTTGTGCATGGGGACGTGTGTGTGTAAGGAGGTGCGTATAGGGGGTAGATGGTGGAAGCCAAATGAAATGCTTACCGCCACGCTTCTACGGAAAACCAAGCCTAGACTGGAGCTGGCTTTCAGTCATCCAATTCAGCTTCAAGTTACAGCAGTTTTTGCCTCTACAACGACCGCTGGCGTCAACAACCGTCAACCTTTCAACAGTAATGAGATTTGATTCTAACGACGGAAAGTAAGACGGTGTGCTGTTGGAATGGTGGCCTGCGAGTGGCTTCAAGCTCGAAAATGGAAGTTAGGAGAAGAAATCTAAACACTCAAACACGACTGCTATTCTTTGTCTTGGCAGCAGTGTCACAAACAATCACAGTTAAAATGCGAC